CCAAACCACTGGTATACAATGATTTGCATTATTACCCTAACTTGCCTAGTTAATCTTAGTGCACTTAGAGCTCTAAGAATATTAGCATCCTGAAAAATATAGTAAACTATTATGTACTGTCACCATTTCAAGATAAAAATAAACCAGCTATTAGAAATTAGTAATTAAAATTATTATGTTTAAAAATATTGAAATAATCCCTCAGAATTTAGGGGAAAAATATAAAAGAATCAAAATTCAACCGGAGGGCTTATAATTCTGACTCTATATATATATATATATATATATATATATATATATATATATATATATATATATATATATATATATATATATATATATATATATCTGTAGATTTAATGTGGAATGATTTTGAGTTTCGTTACTAAACTAGTTTAGTTACTAATGACTTGAAATAATTTTTAAAAATACCTTTTTACCTTATGGTTTAGTGCAAACTAGAACCAGTTGTTTGATAAACAAGGCAATTCTCTAAATCTCCTAAAAGACAAAACATTTTACTTTACAAGTTGTAGTGTACACATAAATCATCTAAACATTTGCATATCATTTAGTAATATTACTTAAAATACTATAAATATAAAACAAATATTGTGCAAAATAAATAGTAAAATATTAGGTACTTCGTTGCAAATACAAAAAATATATTTGTTATTAGAAATGAAAACAAGAGTTAAAAACAAAACACTTCCCATTAAATAGCAGTTGGTAAATATAAAAACTAATAAAAAATAAGAGCTAATAATTTTGCTTTCAACTGTATGAGCTAAGACAATCAAACAATCAAAAATTTCAACAATCATATGATATGCTGATTTGCTGCTCATTAATATTTATTATGAAAAAAAAAAAACTTTTTTTTAATTGTGGAAACCATAATAACTTCATTTCAGAATTCCTAATAGAATGGGGGGGATTCTATTAGAAAAACAGGGGTCTGTTGATCAATTTAATGTGTCCAAGCTGTATAGTTATTGATTTACCAATCGATCTTACCACAAACAATTGAACATTGTGTACTTATTATTAAATGTGGTATTTAACACAAGCTTATCAATAAACACTTATGTGGTATTGGCAATCTTCTTTTAGGGTTCATTTACACAACAATGAAGAAAAATGACAAGAAGAAAGACAAACTGAAAAGATTAGCACAAAGGCAAGAATATTGTCAAAATGATCCCCATTCACACAGATCTACAAAAATAACTAAAAAGAAAACTCTGCATATTAGCATTGTTTAAAGTATGAGTTTTAGCAGTGATGCCATAGAGGCAACCTTCCTTAACTTTAGGGAGGGGGTCACAGTTAGGTTCCTTGGGGTCCTCCTGACCCCAAACATTTACAAACCAATTGCATATAAGGAAATATACATTTTGCTACATCATTTATACAGTCACTTTCCGATTTTGCATTTATGCAGTGTTTGTATAGATATTTTGTACTTTTTATCCCAACACAAACAGCAAATAATTTGACTTGTATGAAAAATTCTATTTTTATTAAAAAAATGTTTTTAAGATTTTGGACCTATATTTCATATAAAAGGTACTGGATATTGTTTTTTTTTTTTAATAGGAATATAATTCTGCCATCTGAGGATAGGGAAAAGTTGAGATTTATTGTTAAAAAACAAAATAGAAAATATACACCACCTTTGTTATGCACAAAAACCCCTCTAAAAGCATGTAGAGATTAAAATAAAATATTAGAAATCAATGCTTATCACAAACATTTTTTTACAAGCAAAGAAACATTAATAATTAGGGCTGCACAGTATATTGTTTCAGCATTGATATTCCAATATGCACATCTGCAACAGTCACATCGCAGAATCTGATATGTTGAACTGATATTATTACTGACCAGGAGCTATATTTGAAAACCCTTATGACTTATCATTGCAATGTTTACCATAAAGTTACCAAAACATTTATTATTCCTTTCTGTTTTTGTGGCCTGTCACTGTGAGCATTTTTTTTGAGTCAGTTTAAAGTATCCAGGCTTTAAGAAAGATCATTGATATTTTTGTAAATATATGATGAAAACTACAGAGCGCTATTTTAACTTTGATTTTTAAATGAATATTTCTGAATTTTGCTAGTTGTCTATATAGGTTTTTATTTGTGCAGTATCTTTACTGTATTTATTAATGTTTGTTTTATTATATTTTGTGCAGATGGTCTCCTTTATAAAAATTATGAAACTAAACTAAAATTATGAATTCTTTCTAAATAGACCCCATTTCATCTGGTGAAGTTATTCTCAGCATCACAAGAAATATTGTGGAAAAATAAAATATCACAATGTCAGTTTTTTCCAATATCATGCAGCCCTACTATATCTAGAAATAAACCCTTTCATGATAGCACACATAAAACTAAAGTATTCAATTAACATAATTTACCAACATTATATATGTAACATAAAATTCTATTGTTCTTCACAGACGAGAAATCAAAAACTCAAAAGCAGCATAGTAATCTCAACAAATAGCATAAGAAGGAATGCAGAGAATTCTGGGAAGTCAATTTACTGTTATTCACTGTATATATATAAAGGAAACTTATGGATCTTTACTGTGATATTTTTACAGTTTTTTACTGTTAAAATCATGGCCATTTTTTTTAGTGAAGTAAAAGAAGAATAAACGATGATAGAATTTTCAGTTCTGGGTCAACAATCTCTTTAAAAGAACCTTTAAGTGAGCATTTATAAAAGAACTATTTGTTTAGTATGAAGATCATTTTAATCATCCTTTTGTGAAGGTTTATAATATTATAGGTTCCACTGCCGCCAGTAAAGACCTTTTAAGAGAAAACATGGGGAAAAATGTAATCAGAGCTGATAATTCTTGATTCAAATTCCCTCTAAGCAAACAATAAAGGCAGCATAATGCAAAAACATTATAAATTCTTAAGTAATCTTTAACTCGCTTCTCTCACCAGGGCGAGCATAACGCGGATATTAAAAATTCAGTTTGTTTAGAGGGCAATATGGAGAGGCAGATAAGAGCGTAAAGATTACATCTCATACAAAATGAAAAAGTCTTCACATAACAAGCATGCTATAGTGTTACTCAGACATGATAACGTATACCAGTGGGTCACTCAGCAGAAATTTCTTTCTCAACTGAAGTCACGGTCAATGCATCATTTCAGCACTTGAATTTAATACTTTAGGTATGAGCAAGCTGGAGAGATATTGACATGCTGAAGGTTTGCAACAAACAACAGCGGGCAGTGAGTCACTGTTTCATCATTGCAGGAAGCCTGTTAAATGTTCTCCATGACTCATGGTTTCTGCCTAAAATAAAGATTTTGTGTTGGGCTTTAAAAATGGGTAATTTAGTGGTAAAAGGCTGTTAAAATGCAACGTTTAAAAGTTAATCCGTTGTATGCGATTGTTAGATAGAGAGACTTTCCAGTAACATATTGCTAAATGTTGACTGAAAGTAGAATTCAGTCAAAACATAATGGTCCAAGTGATGTTTCTCTGTGCAGAAAAAAAATATTTTTTTAGCTAAACATTGTGTAATTACAGATACGAATGTTGTTTTGTTTTTACATTTACGTTTTTTTATTGTACAATTATAAATAAATATACACTGAATGATGGAATTTGACAAATATTTTCCACAAAAGCTAATTCAAACATTAAAATAGACACTTGCATTAATGTATATTAATAAAATAACCTTTTGTAAAATTTAGTCAGATGCAGATACCAAAATAGGATGTCTTATCTTTGATCCATATGTTAACGTTTATCACTTTTGGGAAAAAAAAAAAAAAAAAAAAACTGTGACCAACATGACCAGAAAAAAAAAACACAAACGCACAGTTTACAAAAAAACGCCTTGACAATATTTTTTGCCTGATCTCCGGTAGCCGAGAGAGCTTAACATGCTGCAATTTAAGAAAACACATGCATCAAGCAAACATTTTACTAAAACATGCAGCATTTTCTGATCTCACAAGCAAATTTAACTATTTTATGATTTGACTGATTTGTGGCTAATTTGTACAAGTTCAGTCGGACGAAAACGTACGATTTTAAAAAGGGGGCGTGGCACACAACCCTGCGCCTAAACCCAAGCAACACTAGGGATAAGTAAATCATACTAAACTTTATGAATGAGATCATACTAATTAGCAACTAAATCAAAAAGTTACGAATTGCAGTGGGATTGTGTTGTTATTTTACAGCACTTTTGTCTCATTGTCAAAACAATTAAAGAACTACAAAATACATAAATATGTTACAGATATAAATATATGACCTTTTTCTATTTTATTTATTTAATGACAGCAGCTTCACTGCAACAGATTTTTAAAAAATACACAGCATTTTCTCACAACCCAAACAATTTATGAAAATGTGCTGCATTTTCTCACAACACTTTCCACTTTCAAATAGCATGGAACACAATAGAAACGCTTAAAGAAGACCCCGAAGCATGACGGACACGGCTATTTAGATTATGGTTGTTTAGGCTAATAAATACTAAAGACACGGGAATCAGGATATTAAAATAAACAAACAACAAAACTCATCTTTTAAAGTTGTGAGAAAAAGCAGCACGTTTTCCTAAATTTTTTACGCTGTGAGAAAATGCAGCAATAACTCACAAGGAAATGTAACTGCTTTACGATTTGTTAGTTTAGTGGCTAGTTCGTACGAATTTGTACAAGTTCAGTCATATTCAGTTGCATTATATGAATTCATACGAATTAGCCACTAAATCAAAAAGTTATACGTACTGCTGTAAGATTGCATTGATATTTTAGAGCCCTTTTGTCTCATAGTCAAAACAATTATAAATAAAGAAATAAATACTAAATATATAAATAAGTTAGAGATATAAACATATAACATTTCAATTTAATTCATTTAGATTCACTGCAACATTCATCAGACAAAGTCCTAAAAATGAAGAATACAATAAATTGACATGAATAAAACTCACAAACTCTGCATACTTTTCCGTAAATAATTTTATTTGAATCATCTTTGACAGCCAAGAATGACAAGATCACAGTTTGTCTACATTGCTAATACCTGGGTGCTAATGTACAAAAATAAAAACTAAATGAAAGAAGAAGAAGAAAAGAAAAAGTACTGGGTGCTCACCCTCTAATATTGAAATACTTTTCTATGAAACTGTATTTGAAAAATCTTTCAAAATGAGCTTTATAAAACTGTTACCTTCTGAGAGGTAAAATTGAACAAACACAGACACAAACAGTCTGCTGGGTTAAGAAAGGACCGATCATAGATTGTAACCCTTACACATCACCTAACTTGGACCGATCTACTCTGACAGAATAGTAAATAAAGCATAAACGCCATGTGAAGTAGATGAACACATCTGAACACACACATTATTGGTGACACAGATGTATAACAATAAATACATGGAAATCAAAAGAAAGAAAAGCTTTTCATTGCATTAGTAGTGCTTATTTGGCTAAATAAAAAGGAATGCATGGACAGTTTCATTCAAAAGAGGTAAAATACTATAAAGACAATAAATAGTTTAAATAAATAGTGTCCTCTGTTGCTTGTCAGTTTGGACCTGAGAGGTAAAGACAGAAGTGACACACAGGGACCAACAGCAAAACATAGCGCAAGTATATGACAATGAATGGCCCTAGATTAACACTCCGGAAAACACGCTATTAAATGATCCCATCTCGTTTCATTTGCAGTTGGCGGTTGGTAAATCCAATTAACCACAGAAACAGAATTGTATAGGAAAAGAACTACATTTCAATTTGATGTTGCTACAGTGTTAGAAATCAAGGCAATCCCCTATACAATACTACTTTACGGCCCATTTAATGCCTGCTTTGTTTTTACTAAGGCAATAATTCCACCCCATGCTTTACAAATTGGGGTGGTGGGGTTGTGCTTTGTGCAGCAATAACTTCAGATGGATGGTTTTAAATAAACGCTCCACTTTTTTTTGTTTGTTTTTTGGAAAATATGCTTATTTTGCAGCTCCCCTAGGGTGAAACAGTTGGGATTTACCATTTTTAAATGCATTCAGCTAATCTCTAGGTCTAGCAAAGCACTTTTAGCTAAGCATAAAACATTAAAACAAATTAGACCATTAGCATCTCAGTCAATAAAATAAAACAAAAAGAGTTGCTAATGGTCTAATCAGATTCAATTATCTATGCAAAGATAAGCTAAATGTACTCCCGACATACATCTATTGGCTGTGTGCATTCAACATTAATAAAACTCAACTGTTCAATGTTGTAAAATGAGCCTATTTCCAAAAAAAAAAAAGGAGAAGTGTTTCTTAAAATCCCTCTCATGGCACTTTTATTGTCGGGCCAAGTGTGCTCACAAGCTGAAAAAAAAAAAAAAAAAATCAAACAATTCTTAAAATCATGCACGAGTGGACTAATGTTACAAAACAAACAAACGCAGAGTTCATTTGAATGCTACAACTGGCCGTAGACTCACTCATAGGCACAATTAAAGGCTCTCCCAGAAGGACCTGCAGTCACTCTTTGTAGGTAAATAAACTTGTGACTTGTCTCGAGCGTACAAATCTCAGATGTGCTATTATAGAGGAACATAATTAAGGCTAATTTAATAAACAAACAGTGAGGAGATACAACAGCAAACCCAAGCAAAACGAAACAGATATGGTAGAGGAAGGACCTACAATCATTTTAATCTCAAGAGCTCTCTCTCTCTCTCTCTCTCTCTCTCTTAGATCAGGCACGCTTTTGTTTTTCAGTCAATAAAACACATCTTAAAGCTAAAATACATTATCAAAACGCACAGACATGCTAAAAACATAGAGAATATTTTGGTTGCGAGGGAAAGTTTAGATAAATAATAAATATAATAAAATAAAATAAAAAAAACAAGTCCTAACCAGGCGCAACACATTTAAAATAGTAGTGCGATTTTTTTTTTTTTTGCCACACTGAAAATTCACTACACTGCTCAATATATTGACTTGACGCATATTAAACATCAAACACGGATGAGAATAAACTGGTTAAAGTTGTCATCAAAGTACACAACGTTAAATGGAAGTTTAAATGAACTCTCAAACATTTAGGACTTTCAACCACCGAGAAAGGTCAACGAGTTCTAATTAGAATAGTTGAATCTGACTGAGTTAAATTGGACTTTCACAAATATTCAGGAGATTAACTGCCTATAAAAACCACAAAAGACCACCTCCTAGATTCATTTCATAGGACCGGTGATTATAACAAACATTTTTTGTGACAAATAAGACGAGTCACACTAAAGTTAATGTTTTGTCTTTCGACAGTATCTGCATCTAAATATGAGGTCCACAAGACACACAATCCTACTTAAGTGTTTGAGGGAAAGTCAAAATAGACCAATTGAAACCACAGCCTTGCATTATGTGAAAATACTTTAGACTATCTACATAGATAAGTTACAAAAAATTTTAAACATCAAAGGATGTTAAAGTTATCTGAAATGTGATCGTTTTAATTATTTTGTTTTAAAATATTCAGAAGAGTTTGCTGCCAATTCGAATTAATATATGAATTGTACAAGCTTTTGATTTCGCAATATTATACATAAATCAAGAAAGTGATCAGAAGTGGACAAAAAAGGCAGATTTAAAAAAAAGATTGTCTGCTTGTCATCAACCTAAACATATTAGGTGCATTAAGGGCCAAAATAAAAGTACAAGAACAAGGAAACAGTAGGAACTGGTCTGACTGGGTTTTATGATTGCACAGAATTACACCCCTCTCCATAGGCATACTTATACTCACACACACACACACATGAACATACACATATTAAATTCAATAAGAAATAAAACACCAAAGTGATGTTTCTCTAAAAATGGTATTGTTTAAAAACATCAGCTGTTTTAGTTTTAAAAGTCAACAGTAATCAGAGCTTTAATATGTTTCTGAGTTTGCAATGAAGTGCGAATTAAAGGATTAAAGTGTTTAAATTTTCGGTGAACAACCCCTTAAATTAAAATACAAATAAATAGCTTTTTTCTTAAATCATGTTGCGCCAAGTTAGGACCAAAACCCAAGGTTCAAAAATATGAAAATTTAAATGCAATGCTTTCAAGGTTTTGGGTACAGAAGAAGAAAACAAATCCAAATCTTGTTGGGTTTTCAAAAGACATGAAAGCAGATGTACCATTATTGTTCTATAAATGCTAAATCGATGTACCAACAAGGACCTACATCTCAAAAAAAGTGCTGACAGACTGAATCCCACCATATTTAATTACCTTAATTTTCTCTTAATAGTTATATAGACAAACCAGAGGATTGACAAAGTGTCAGTTTGAGGCAACAAGTAGTAAACAACTCGGACAGGATTGTAAAACATTGACACAATCTTTTAAATACTGTGTTCAGTTCACACCGAAACGGTTCCCCAGGGGTTACAAATGTATACTGTACAAAGTATAAAACTTCTGTCAGACCAACTAACTTTTCTAAATAAGATCTATCCCTGTTTTTTTCTTAATGTAGCGTACATGCAGGAGGTGTACACAACTTGTCGTGCTATTGGTACAGTGCATGCTTTCAGTACCACGTGTTCATTAGTTTTAATTTGACTCTTCCAAGCAATTGGAGTTGGGTACCGAGGGCTAACCTATCAATTCTAATCAAGGTAGTCGCTGTAAATTAGGTCTAAGGCAACAATGTTCCATATTACAGAGCAGGAATCATGCAGACTAAAATACTCATAGCTGCTGCTGTAGACACGAATCTGCCCCAGGTACAGTAGTGTCTGCTACAATTTCAGGTAAAATCAGCAGCGAAGGCCTGACATTCTCTATAATTTAGAACTTTTTACTTTTTCAGAAAGATGCAAATGAAACGGGTGCCAGACTTAAACACATGCTCATACAAATGGATGAATACAACTATCTCAAGAACAAACTTTCACAAACAGAACGCAAAACTACACTTTGTATTAATTGTGTTCGAACACATAAACATAGTATATTCTAACTGAGATCGCAAATTTGGTCTCTCTCTTATTAATAGAAGATGCCTTTAAAGAGATAGTTCGCCCAGAAATGAGAGTTCTGTCATGGTTTACTCACCATTGACTTGTTCCAAACCAGTTTGCGTTTTCATTTTGTTCTCTTGAACATAAGATGAAGATATAATGAAGAATGTTGGAAACCACTGACAAATTTGAAAAACAAATACTACGGAAGTCTATATTCTTGAAAATATCTTTTGTGTTCAAAAAAAAAAAAAAAAAAAAACTAAACTAGTTTGGAACTAGTGGTGGATGGCAAGCAGATCTTTACAGAACTTCATTTTTGGCTGAACTGTCCCTTTAAGTATAGCAGCATTTAATGAAAAAGTGCAGAACCAAATATTGGGTTTTTGTCATTCCTTTTTCCTAATCTACAATTGCACTTACTCACCATCACTTAGTAGCTAATAATACGTCAATACAGAAGTGTAATACGCATTGGAGCAGAGGAACGCACTACAGTAAAACCTCTGGTAAAGCTACAAGCTACCTCTAAATTGTGTAAGTGCTTTTCAATATTGGCAATAAATAATCCAAGGCCTCTAATTATCAATATATGCTCAAATATATTCACACCGTGGTGTTTCTCTCTGGTAAAATTTATCCTGAATAGTCCTAACTGTGCTAATACAGTACCAGTGAGTCTTTCCTCTCCAATATGGGGATTCGTTAATTGGAAACTTCAGGTTAGCTGTAACTGGCAAGTGTAAACTGCCATCTAACACACTCACCTAATGAAGTAAGAATGCTCACTTTCTAGACCTCTCTCTTTGTCTTTCTAATACATTTTATTTATTCGTCTTTTTACATGCTCCGCCTTCTCTGTTCTGCAGGTACTTATCTAGCTCCGCCTCTCGCTTCACGGCTTCTGGGTTGATTTTTGGGGCACCAGGAAAACATACCAGCACCACACTCATGTTGTCTCGACTACCCTGTTGACAAACAAGCAAACACAGAAGAAATTAGATTAGATTAATCAACTAAGTTTTAATAGTTCAGCCCAAACTTAGTATACTTTGATTTGTTATGCATGCTAACAATTGAACACACCACCCATTATACTATGCTAAATAGTGTGCAAATACAGATGCACTCAATCTCCATACATTCTGCACTCAATTAAAATTTGAGCAAAAAAAATATGTTCACTCACAAAGATGGTATGGAGTTTAGGGAACACCTTTTTTAAAATTTTAAAAACACATTTTTGTACGAATGACATCACACAAATGTTCAGAAAACTGAAGTATACTTTGGCCCAATCCCAATTCTACCCCTTGGCCCTTCCCCTAACCCCACTCGTCGTTTTATGCATTCACTTAAAGAGGTAGGGTTGTCCCAATTCTCTTTAGCTTGAAAGCGTAGGGCTAAGGAGAAGCACTAGATAGCCCTTGAAACTGAAATTTTCCAGCACCACAAATGACCTAACCAAGAGGTAAGAAATTTCCCAGAATAATTTCTGTAACCCATAATAACTCCTGTATAGTAGTCCCACAACATACTTTCCCATCTGACACTCGAAAATACTCAAAATTACCTTTTTAGTCTCTGGTATGATGTTAATGTTGTTGTTGTGTGTTTACATAGATGGATATGGCCACAGAGTAAATGCACAGTACAGTTACAATTTTACTGCCAAATTATATCGTTGTGATAACATGATAATATATCATTGCCTTCAGTGATTTCTTGAAGATAAATACAAAAAAACTGGAATAACTACAGCAGTCCTAATAATTAATCTCTTATGTTGTAAGAGATCACATTAACATTTGATGACGTGTGCAGGTGTTGTAGTGGTGGCCAATTTCATAGGGGTAAATTTTGAAGCCCTTCCCCTCTGTTTCAAAGGCGTAGGGGAAGGGGTACAAAAATAAAATTGGGATTGGGCCTTTGGGCTCTAAAAATGTTCAAACCATTCTAAAATGTTTAACCATTAATTGAAATTTAATAACATTTTCCTTACACATGTTGAGAGTTAATATAACATCATGTTTTCTAATCAAGGTCCACTTCTTTTTATAAGTTCCTTTTTTATTATTGTTTCAGTATATTGCTTGCACCAGCATAACTTTATTTTGATCTTTTTTTAGGGCTGCACAAGACATAATTTCAGCACTGATATCTCAAAGTGACATCAGGAACAGTCACATCGCAAGATATACAATTTTGAGTCTTTATTGTAGTTGACCAGGAGCTACATAATTCAATTTAAATGCTGTGTTTATAAGAATTTAAGTGATTTATACAAAAAAATTTGATTATTTCACTCACCTCTTACTGGCAGATCATTTTACTTGTTAAGGAGTTACTCTGAATTTTGACTTTTTTTTTTGAAGGTCAAGCAAAGCAATATTTTTTATTAGTTTTAAGAAATTTTTTTAAATTTTGGCTAGAAATGGGACAAAACAAAGTAAGTAAAGCATTTGTGATTATTTATTTCTTTATCTAAATACTATAAAGACTCATTAAAAGACTGTTAAACTAACTTCTGAAACTGTATTCATATCGCAATATTTATCACAGACAAGTAAAATATCGCAATACCACATATTTCCAATATCGTGCAGCCCTAATACTTTAAAGGGGTGGTCCACAATGTCATTTTAAGGCTTGGCTGTGTTAATAAGATGCAAAGCAATGTGTGCTCATGTTTCACTTGAAGGAAATCACATTATTTTTTCATATATCTCACTTTGATTATACACAGCCACTCAGCTAACATAAAAACGACTGTCATATTTCCTAGTTCCTCTGAAAGGCCCGCCCTTAAGTGACTCTGATTGGTCATCGTCATAATGTGCTGCTATTCACGGATCGGCTCTACGTCACGCCCGTAAAAGCACATGCTTTTCTGCTGTGTAAACATGCAGTCAACCTCGCGCCCGCTCTCTAAAATAAAATCTGACAAGTATCTGTAATGAGTGAAAATGGGGTGCGACTCCTTTAAGAGTTTGCCATTGTGTGTGCGTCTATGTGTGTGTGTGTGTGTTTGTGTGTGTGAATGTGTGAACTTTCTGTAACAAGCGCATGTGCGCAGGACTTTCTTTTTCTCTGATGCTCGGATTAAGTTATTATCTGTAATATATCGTGACAGAAGAATAAAGCACAAGATGTGGGATGCTACCTGTTGAGCCTTGATTTATTATTCTGCTGCGACCATGAGTCAGGTAAGCTAACCTGTATTTTTTAGACTATGCGTTACACGACGGCTTTCACGTGTATCCGGAATATGCAGGTGTAAGTAATATGAATCATCCACATATATTTTGCGACTTCATTATCTAAGATGTGAAACGCACGTAAAAACTGCCTGAAGACAATCAGTGCAGTCCCGTGCGCGCACACACATAAGAGACACGAACGTGCTGGTGGAGTGTGTGTGTGTGTGTTGAGCAGTTTGACTGATAAATATGAATTGGTAGCTCAATCATTTGCCCACAAAGCAGCATTTCCTATTGTTTACATCATTGCTACAGCATATCGTTAACGCTAGACACTATAACGTTACATATCTCAATCAATTTTAACTAATAAAAACACTTACTGGTTGTATCTTATCGCTTCTGAGGAGATTTAGCCGAATCCAGCACTGAACTGGGAGAGATTCTGGAGCTGTTTTGTCAAATCATGCTTGCTGTGTATTTTATAATTCTCTGGAACATAATTAATATTAAACTGTAAGTACTTCTGTCTTTGTGTCGTGTAGCCCAAATACAGAAACAGATAAAGCTCTGTGGAAACAGCCGCGTTTAGACGCATTTTTGCTTCATCTCTGCTATAACGTAACAGCTCCTCTGGCCACGGCCCTTACCTGCATGCACAGTTTGGATGCGCAGTAACGAACTTTTGTGATCTCACAGGGGGCGGAAGTATTTTTTGTAGTCCCCAAAATTCGTTCATTGTAGGCTTTGCTAAGCTAACTCAGTAAAAACCAAGGTCTCCCTTTGCATTGAACTTAGAACGTTTTACATTCAGAGATGTTGTTAATGTTCACACAGCTACATAACACATCAACTAAAGTTTAAAATATGATATCGTAGTGGACCACCCCTTTAAGCTTCTCATACAATAATAACAACTGAAGAAGTGTTAAAATGTGCTGAAAAAAAGAAATCATGAGGAAAATCTTCTGCTTTTTTTTCTTTGTTTTAATATCTGATATGTTGCATCATCTGGATATTTTCTAATTCAATTATTGCCTCTCCAAAAAGAAAAATCAGAATCCAAAATTTCAAACTATCCCATCGAGCTGTATTTAACTAATTCTCTGAAAGAACCAGGTTTCAAGTATATTTTTGAACAAATCATTAGATGTTAGTAAAAATGTCACATTGGCATGCTTTTCGAAAGGCTTAAAGCTGACCTTACCTTGTACAAACATGTGTCCACAATTTCATTACACACTCTCTCCAGATCCTCAGTCACCTCCAGACGCGAGCGCACGAAATCACACAGTTCTTCATTTGCCATGACATCCCATATACCATCACATGCCAGCACAACAAATTCATCCTCAGCCTCAGAGCGTTCGATCTCATACACTTCTGGCTCCGGGGACACCAGCTGCTCAGTGGGGCCTTTTCCATGCACACACTTATAGTCGAAATCACCCAGAGCACGAGAGACAGCAAGGGAGCCATTGACCCTCTGAATCATAACAGAACCACCTGCGTTCTGGATCCTCTCCTTTTCCAGAGGGTTACTGGGCTTGTGATCCTGGGTGAAGAAGTGAACACGACCCTTGCGGCTCAGCAGGGCCCTGGAGTCACCGCAGTTGATGAAATAGAAATGGTGAGGGGAAATCATCACACCCACTGCTGTGGAACCGCTGCGGTCCGCCCCATGCTTGCGTTCGGACATGGCCCGCATGTGTTCGTCGATCTGCAGGAAGCCTGTGCGGATTCCATTTTTAACACTCTCCACGGAGGGCTCAGTGCCAACTAAGTCGCCACCTATTGAACAGCCTCCCCTAAAGTCTGGGTTGCTGGTAATATGTTCAAGCAGATGCTCACAGCAGTAGCGGGCAACCTGAGAGCCCGCATGGCCATCATAAACTGCGAAAAAGGACCACAGGCCGAGGCCGAATGGAAGCCCCATCACAGCGGTGTGTGCGTCCTCCATCTCCACACGCCATCCCTGCATACTGCTGAGTCCATAACGCAGGCCGTTCCCCTCCCCGTGGGCATTGTGCTTCTCCATCTTTGGCTTGTCTAAGAACGCACCCATTCTTCTTATTATGCTCTGACAAACACAAGCAGAAGACAAACAAAGTGAGGAAAAGGTGCTTCATACTGTGCATGACTCTCATTCACTTAATACTGACAAAATGACAACAAATGAGATTGATAAGACATCAGGATTTATACGATAAGCCACAGGTGCAGCAAGCTCCCAGCAGCAAGTAAACTGTTTAGGTAAATGTTTGTGCCATCACATCAATGCAGTAAACTTATCTACCCACAGACATGCTGTTGTTTACATCTCAGCTTCCTTTTAAATGCGTTTCAGAAACCCAAATAGTGCAGCAAAACGAACTAACCTGTATGACTTTAAAGCAACTGTGATGTTTTACTGATAACGCCACTGCCCTTATCAGCATATGCAAACTGCTGCTGCACAGAGATAGCATTAACAGGCTAGCAGCTTACATTTAACGCGCGTCAGAGTGACATAATATCACTTACCCAGTTTCTTCTTGCTCTTTGCTGGATGAAGAAACAGCGAGGGAGAAAAGCCGCTGGTAAGAGCCTTAATATCAGTGTGCTGGGCCGGATTGCAAACACTAAAAAGCAGCCACAATACACATCAATCGATAGCTAGCCAATTAGCCAGCCAACTAACGTCAAACGTGCCAGAGACCGACTGCGTAAATAAAACAACAACAATAACAAACGTACACATATGAAAAGCATCACATGAGCCCGTTAAGGCAATCCGCTGCTGGGGTGGTGGGGCATTTCTGGCTCCGGTGTTTTTGTTTTCCCGAGGGGGGGCTACCGGAGCCTCGCACTTAGAACATCTCTCTCTCCGCGCGAATGGGCTTGTTTGGGACCCGGATGCTGCAACGGATAGTGCGCGTTCCGCTCTCACTATTACATCATCAGTGCCACGCAATTGAGGGCTGGAAATAGATCCATTGATGAGAAATGAGGAGGGAGACGGAGAGACTGCAGAGAATCTCTCTGGTGCTCAATGGGCTCTATGCACGGCGGCGCGTGACGCATTTCCGGTAAAATTTAAGACCCCGAGCCTACTTCCGCCGATCGTACAGTACAGTGCTACAACAGGAGCGCTACTGATAAAAACGAGTAATGTTTTGGACAGTTGTCTTAATGTTTTATGCCATTATAGCCCACTTATATATGTTTATGTCAGCTACATAAATATGACATCTAAACGTTTAAAAGTGTCATTTCAAAGACGTGAGAACAGTACTTGTAGATACCACTGCTGTGTTCAGCAATGCACAGCATCAAAAATTGAACTCTTACCTTAGTTTCCACACGTTTCCAAAAGACAAAGTCGTGCAGAAGAGGTGGGTTGTTGATATTAAACGTGAGAATTTTACAGAAACAGAAAAAAACAAGAGTGTAGCTGACAATTTCAGTCTAGAAAACTGATCGAGGCTCGAGTGCCAACCGGATGCAGACATTTAAAGAAAGGAGCTTTTATGGCAAATAATAGTTTATTTTCATTGCCTTTGAAGTAAAAAAAAATAACATTAATATACATAAACATTTCTTAAGCTACTTTCTAAGTGCAATTTTTAAATTCAGAATAAAGACTTTTATTTTATTCACTGTACATATAAAATAAAATTCACTGTATGTAATTTGAAATAAAAATTGTCAAAAAAAATGTAACATTTTGAAAAAAATATTTTATTCAGATGAACAGAAAAAATGACATTGAATCAGTTGTTTTCTTGAATCAGGTGCTTCTTCTGTAACTTGTGCATAGAGAGGTATTTGGGCTTATACGTATTAAATAAATAAATAAATCACCTCTCTGTTTCATGGAACTTAACACATAATTGATCCATTCCAAACAATTGTTCATGTGACAACTCACATTACACATTTCAGAGTAATGGGCTGTCTGGAAAAGCAAAGCAACCAAATGTTTGCAAATCCCACTCTCAGCCACACAAGAGCAGGAGCTATAAACTAGCAGACGATGTCATGGATCTTCTGACGGATGTCCGCTCCAGGATGAAGTAACACATAAAATTTTCTAGCTCTGAATCTCATAATGTTACCTAGAAAACAGAAACAAGAATATTAATAGGTTTTTAAAGAGAGTCATTAAAGGCAGTTCACTCAAAACTGAAAATTCTATTTCCTCATCCTTCACTTGTTCCAAACCTGTTTGAGTTTCTTTCTGATGTTTAACACAAACAAAAATACTTTGAAGAAAGCTGGAAACTTGCAACCACTGATATTCATAGTAGCTCTTTTTCCTACTATGGAAGTCAATGGTTACAGGTTTTCAGCTTTCTTCAAAATATCTTCTTTTTAAAGGCATCTGCAGCAATATCATCAGATTAAACTACACAGTAAATCATTAATTTAAATGATTTAAAAGTAGCTCCCTTTAGTCACACTTTAAAATAAGGTTTCATTAATTAATGTATTTGCTCACTATTAAAATAACTATTTAATATTTAACATTGTTAAACTAATTTACTAATGAATAAAAATCCAAAGTCATGCTTGTTAACATTAGCTATTACATTGTGAGTTAACAAGCACAATGAATAAGCAATAAGCAATGTAAAAAACTAATAAATATTGAAATAGACAAATTGTTGATGTGAAATTAACTAATGACACCTTATTGTTTTGGGTCACCCTCCCATTTAATTACAATGTTATCGACTAAATAGAAAGCATGCTATCTACACTGCTACACTGCATCTGTCATCTCCACTGTTTCAGCAATAAATATCAGCATTGACACAGTGCTATTTGTCTGTTGTGGATGGAACGGCATTGTATTATTTTATTCCTAATCTATCTTGCTCAATAATCATGCTTACAAGCTAAGACAGCATCTGTGTTTCTGTGATTATCCGAACTGAACAGTGGTGGTCACTTTAGAACAGTAAAAGTATGAATGGGACAGAATTTCACATGTATGCTGTCCTCCTCTCAGCTGGTGAGGAGACTCCGAATTCTTCATAGATCTATCGGTAGTAATGAGCTCTCACTGAGATCTTATTCCTGCCCTGTTTTTGCCTGACACTTTGAGACAGAATTACGTACACATATGATTATTTTTACTTACGTGATAAAGCTGCAGATGGACGGATCGTAAGAGTATTAACGCTAAAGTTAGCCTTCAGGCTAGCTGAACTTACCTTCATAATTGCACAGGTAGGAAGATGCATACAACTTGAAACCCTTCTCAAGCTTTGCTCTGCGGTGTTGTAGAGCACATCCGGACAATCATTTGCACATCGTTGACCATAATTTACTCGCAAACAGCGAGTAAATATTGACGACTCTGTCATAATACTGTTCACCTCCGCTTAAAGTCACCCAGACCGGAAGCTGGACCGCGGCCTTAGACAAAACGCGGAAGTAATGCGTGCATATAGCCCATTCAATGTGGGACAGTTTTATATAGAGGGTTTTATTGCGTCTAGTCTTTATGGGTTTACAAAGAGCGCTTTGTTGTGTAAATCGGTGTAGAATACAGATACATAAAAGTGATATATCACGCGAAATCAAACATTTTATGTTAGTTTACTCACAGAGACAAAGCATTCAATATGCGAGTGAGCTTTAATATATTAAGATTTTTTAGCTAGAAGTCTAGCCCTTGCTGATTCATAAAAGTAAAGTCAACTCGAAGGTCGATAAACACGTTCAGACAAAACAGAATGGGGTATATTAGGTCCATAGCAAGCATGATGAAAGTGGTTCTTTTTTACTCAAAAAGTGGACGTTTTTTGCAGTCATTCAACTCATTTTGTATTTAATTTTGAGGTTTAAATACTATTTTTCAGTAAGATTAATAAGCGCATTTATTTGCTGAATTAGCTTGTTGAGATTGTGTTGGATGGTCCCACTTTTTGATGTACCAAAAACATTTTTTAAAGATTTAGAATTAAGAAATATTAAGAGTCCTCCTCTTTTTTAGGCTACTTATGATATATCACTATGGGGAAAATAGTTAAATGTAAATATCTGTTAAAGTTTTACATTTAAAACTGTGGCCTATTTCCCAGCTACAGCTGGAAGGGCATCTGCTGTGTAAAACATACGCTGGATAAGTTGGTGGTTCATTCAGCCGTGGTGACCCCTGATTAATAAAGAGACTAAGGCGAAAAGAAAATGAATGAATGAAAGAATGAATGAAACTGTGGCCTATGTGGCCTTACTATAGGTTCTCTTGTAATGAAAGTACATTTGAAAATTCATGGATAACAACAATATAATATGGGCTGCTTTTGGTGCTTCACAATTTTTTATTGTTCATTTTTACTTTCAAAAATAAGGTCCAAGATTTAGAATAAAAGTTACTTATAAAATGTTTTCTCTATAGCAACAATAGACCGTTTCAGTGTGGTAATGCCATTGGACCATGAATATTTCCTTCTTATTATCAAACTTTTTCATATCTGTAACAAGAGGTAATTCAATCCAACTTTATTTGAAAACAGCTATCATAACATTATTTATCAACATGTGGCTCTTTTTTTGATTCTCTGATGCAATGGAAATTAAAAATGTAAAGCAGGAAATACATTGGGAAGATTGTTTTTGTTTACATCCCTCAAAATAGTCTATACAGTGAAAATTGACTTTACTTGCATCAGATTTCGCTTGGTCTTAAAGGGTCCTGAAACCCCCTACTTTTGGTTTAAGTCTACCTCAGCATTTTTTCAAAAAATGCATCCTAATGGGCGTGGAGCTCTAAGATCAGAGGCAGGGGTCGGCGTGGCCAGCAGAGCAGGGAAAAGGAGGGGACAGGGAGCAAACAACTGTTGTCAGTTAGCTCACAAAATGAGACACACAAAGGAGACGCATGATTTTATAGTTTACAAAGTTAAAATGCAAAGAAATAAACAGTAATTTAATGCCCTGCTACATTTGTTATTTGCATTTTCATATACAGATAACCACAACTTATATCATTATAAAGATAATCGTGTTTATATAAACACTAAATGAGGACTTCTACCTCAATCCCTGGGTCTGAATGCAGACTCAGTGAGAGGGGTCTGGATGCAGACCTGGTGCAGTGCAATTTGAACTGCATCCAATGCCTTTTAATGCGCTCACCTAACCCCACCCCTAACCCTACCCATCACAGTGACATCACTCACTCCATTTAGTGCATTGTGTCTGACATTGCATCGTTGAGTGATGCAATCTCAGCTTGCATCATAAAGGCTACATCCAGATACTATTGGACTCAGTGCAGCCGGTCTCTTGCCCTGTCTATTTTAACCATTAGCCCTGCTGTTAATCTGGAGGATTTAGGCGATGTGACTAAATGTGAACGAACTCCATTGATAAAAGACTACGTCCGCCATTCTCCAATTCTTGTGCTACTTTTCCGACAAAAATGCTTGCTGGACACATACAGCTTTGCTGTATCGGCCCTGACAGCATCGCGGGGAAAAACATGCAACAAACCCTCTTAAAAATTAGGTAAGAATTCATAGCTGAGCTTGACACTGGCAGGTCTGCCTTGCCTTCTAAATGAACGCGCAGTCATGAATAATTAAGAAGCTGGTTCTTCTCATAGGTTAAGAAACCTCAGCTATGAATAATAATGAGAAACCGACGCGTCATCTTTGCACTTGCAGTTTTCGGCTACGTCACCGATTTTGATCCCACCCCAAAAATCATTTAAAACCCGGAAGATGAAATTAGCAGACAAAAGCTCAAAATTTTTCCCAGAATTATAGCTAACAGGTGCTAACATTGTCTTAACTGATGCTCAACACACACAAATATGTTAAAACCTAAAAGAAAAAAGTACTCGAGGGTTTCTTAAACCTTTAAAGCCCTTTTTCGATAGGTTATTTTGATAACTTATGATGACATAACAATCATAATAGGACA